AAAGAATTTGAGAAAAAAGAAAGGTTGAGAAGGAGGCAGTGAATGGGGCAAAGGGAGAAAGAAACCAGCATGCCTTAGATTAAGAAGGTGAATGCAGAGGAAAAGTCAAGGAGAGGCTGGGAGAAGTGTGTGGAAGCTCTGAATGCCGTTTACCTACCCTGATGCCTCTGAGATAAAGGGGTCTGCCAACTGCCCAGAGTGGTTGGACAGGTCCTCAATACACCAGGAAAAAAAAAAAAAAAATTAACCTTTTCTTCAAATATCCCCTCCCCTTTCTAATCTGACAAAGCACATACCTATATACCTTGCCAATCAGGTGGCCTTTTGTTTTTTCTCTTTTGATTTTCCTGCTTACAGTCAGCAAAGGTCTCCTAAGGAAGGTCTAGTCCAAATTGTTCTTAGCCCTCTCCCTCTTGTCCTTCACGCAGTGGCCTCCTTCAAGATATCTATCAACCAAACACCTTGAGGGAGAGAGAGTCACTGGGCCTTTGGGATCAGGACCATAGTCTCAGAGGACATTATGCTCAATTGGCACAACATGGTACGTAAAAATCTTGTTCTGCAACCTACTTTGGTGAGTAGCAAATGGGGTCTTAAAAGCTTTTGAGCAGCCATCTCAGATGTAACTATTGGTCTCCCCTTGTCTGGAGCAAAGAAGAGTGAAGCAAATCAAAGTCATTTGGAAACAATTACTCCAAGGATATGATGGACCATGGGGACCTCAGTCTATAGGACCCTAAGACCAGAAGAACTAGATGGTGCCTGGCTACCAATACCAACCACTCGGAAAGGGATCAAAATTGGGGATCCTGGATAGAGTGGGAGGTAAAATGTGGAAAAAAATTCAAAAACACAAAATTGACCAGAATTACTGGTCAAATAGAGAGTGGTAGAACCCCGAGACTATGCCCCCAGGTTATCTTTCAGGCCTGGAAATGGACTCACTTCCGTGGATTGGTTCTCAGCCCAACAGTAGAAAGACCTACAAGCAGAACACCTACATCAAGGAGATGTACCCACCTACCCTAGAGAGATGCACTCCTTAGACCAACTAGCCATAAGACATCAGAGGGGCACTCACATAGAGGGAAAGCTGGATGGACAGGAATGCCTAGAGGAGAAGGGCACAGGGAAGGGGTACTCCCAGGGAGGAGACAGAAGGAGAGCTTTTTATAGTTGGAGATTATAATCAGGGCTGTGCAATCAAATGTGCACAAACTGTCAAGGGTAAAACTGTTGAGGGTAAAACAAGTCTGCTTTGCACCCAGATCACAATAATTAAAAAAAAAAAAAAAAAAAGAATCTCTGTCTATGCTAGAAGCACCAGAGCCAAATACAGAGGCTGAAAGAGAGACAGACAGACAGATATAAGGAGAAAAAAAGCTGGTGCTACCCTTAGTAGAGGGACCCATCCTCCACTATACCTGTCCTAACATCCAAGTCTTTTGCTGCGATGTCTCCCCCAACAGTCCCTTGAAGGCATGTTCCTTTGGAAGGGACCAGAAATTCTGTTCAACTTGGACCCTCAGTCTAGGCCAAGCAATAGGCAGGAGCCAAACAGGAAACAGAGAGAGAGAGAGAGAGAGAGAGAGAGGCACTGCCCCACTCTCCCCTTGTGTGTCATCCTGCATTCTCCCCAACTCCCCCACAACAGCTGTCCCTCACAGATTTGTTAAACCAATCCCCTACTCACAAGTACCAGACTAGCTCATGCTGGGGGGAGGTAATCACTTAAGCTGAAAATCACTTCAAGGGGTATTAGTATTTTAACTGAGAAGTGGTGAGGCCCCAAGGAACCAGGCTTTCTGTCAGGTTTTAGAGCCCGGTGAGGTTCTGTTTGCTTTAGGGGCTTAGGATGAGCTGCTCAGCATTAACCAGGTGCTAGTGGACTCTGGTAGCATAATGCCTAAGGCACTTGACTGCTAACCAGAAGGCTGGCAGTTCAAACCCACCAGCCACTCCTCAGAAGGAAGATGGGGCAATCTACTTCTGTAATGATACCGCCTTGGGAACCTAAAGAGGGGTCGCTATGAGTCAGGTCCGACTCAAGGGCACATAATAACAGTGGACTCTGTCTATATGAGAGGCTACCTCTGTGTGATCCCTCCATTTCCACTGGAAGTCTGTTTTGCTGTTAACCAAAGGAAAGCGTTCTTTATGGCATTTTGTTTTGAGAGTGGGGGATGGAGTTTCTGAATTTAAACCTGCTAGGACCTACAGGGCCTCAGATCACAGCAGGAAAGCCCAGAGGCCCACAGTTTCCTTTCCAGGAGTGTGGGAACTCTGGAATACTCATCCCATGAGTACCATAGGGATACTCATCCCATGCCTGTGTCTGATCTGCAGAATTGAAGCTGACTATTCATAAAGCAAGAGGCATTTCCAAGTATCTGGTTCTAGAGATAAATGCCTAGGTACAAATGTAAGCTAAAAAAAAAAAAAAAAAAAAAAAAAACTGCCATTGAGTCGATTCTGACTCATAGTGACTCTAGAGGACAGAATAGAATTTCTCCATAGGGTTTCCAAGGCTGTAAATCTTTACAGGAGCAGACTGCCTCATCTATCTCCTGCAGAGTGGGTGGTAGATTTGAACTGCTATACTTTTGGTTACAAGCTAAATGCTTTAAGCACTATACCACCAGAGCTCCTTCTTAATAGTTGCACAAATTGTTAAATCTCTCTGTGCCTCAATTACCTTATGCATAAAATGGAGATAATAGTAGTATTGTGCAGGGTGGGTCTTAAGATTAAATGAGTCTATAGAAGTAAAGTACTGGGAACAATGGCAAGCACAGAGTAAGTGAACAATTATAGGCAGTGTAATTGCTTAATAAAGTTACTATTGTTACTACTGTCATCTTTCTTTTTTGGGAGTCAGTTTCCTGCTGCAGGGCCCTCTTCACTGCGATGTAGCACCCCCAGTTGAGTAAGGAGCCCTAGCAGAATGGCCCAGTTGGGTGTATACCTCTGCTGGCTCCACAAAACCCGGCTTGACAACCTGCCATTTCAAATTATCTTCATTTCCCTTCCTTTTTCTTGGCACTACACATATTTCCTAAAAAGTTCCAGGTAGGGAGCCTTTGTAAGTCAAAATACTTTGGGGGGGAGGGAGAAAGCACCCTGATATTTAATGATACTTTATTTTCATTTCTAATTAAGCCTCTAGGCAAAATGGATCTTGACTTTTTTGAGATTTTCTGAATCCCCCCATACAAAAACACGGAAGGACACTTGCTATTTAAGAGAAGAATTCTGTTTATAAGACAGTTTGGTAATGGGATCATCACTCCCTTAGTACCGTCTTGTAACTTTGGGGCACTTAAGGTAGGGACATCTATGTTCCTGTCCATCACTATGGACCACGGCGGGGTGTAAAACCCACTCTCATGGAGAACTCTGAAGGAGGCCTGGTGGTACGATGGATAAGTGTTCAGCTGGTAATCTAAAAGTTGGCAGTTTGAACCAACTGCTTCTCGGGAGAAAGATGTAAGTCTGCTTCCATAAACTTCAGCCTTGGAAACTCTATAAGGCAGTCCCACCTTGACCTATTGGGTTGCTATGAGTCTGAATCTACTGGATTGAGACCTCTAGGAAGAAAAGAGGGAATGTCAGCCAGGGGCAGTGCTGGTCTGTGGTTTCACCAGAATTGCCCCTCCAGAGGTTTCTCTGGGATAGCCCAATGGTGGTTTCTTCCTAAAGACCCTCTGCTTGCTTAAATCCATGCAATCCAGAAAACCACCTGGCCAGGAGCTGGGACTGAAAATTTAATTCAGCAGCCTCTGGCTTGCAGTCATCTATTCCTCCACTCTGGGTCTCTGTTTTCCCATCTGCACTGAAAGTGAATCCTGCTGCTTTCCCAAAAAGCCTGTGGAGGAGGAGAGAGAAGGCCTGTGCAAATGCCTCCCCCAAGGCTGCCCTGTCCAATGTGAGCCCAGAATGAGGCTCTAGAATGGTATGTAAAGGCAGCCATGCCAGGGAGTACCTAGAGCCTAGAGCCCTACCTGGGCAGAGGCCAGGAAGAAGTAACATCAGCAGGGAGTAGGAGAGGCACCCTGGCACCTGCTATGGAGGGTCACCTTACCAGACTCTGGGTGAGGTACCTGTGCCTCTCTCACCTGGCCCAAGCAGCTGGGTACAGCATGCCTCAGAGGTGGAAGAGCTCTGCCTCCTGGGCAGGGGTCCCCGTTGGTAGGCTATTCTGGCAAAGCCAGGAACACACAGGATCCACCAGCCCTATGGTCACCAGGGAAAGGGACAGCCTGTGTGGGTTGACCTGGAGCTGATTACCTGAGTGGTGCCAGTAACCAGCACTGTATCAAGCCGCAGGCCAGCTCTGGCACCCAACACTGCTCCTGGGCTGACCACTCCCATTCACCTTCCGTTTTACTTCCAAATCCGCCCCTGCCAGCAGGGGCCATTACCAAACCTCAGATCCACTGTGCAAGGGAGGCCCTCCCCACCCCTGCAAACTCCATCACTCCCTCTCTCCCCGAGGTGATGGTGGAAGAAGGGGATGAAAACTGATTTTACCTCTCTGGGGGGGGGGGGTGAGTGACATAAAGTGTCGGATTACACAACACACGAGGTAAGCACGGGCTTACTTGTGCTTACTTACTAATCTGTAATGAACAGTTTCACATGGGTCTCACTAATTAGTAAATAAGCACAAGCAAACCCGTGCTTACCTTGATTATTAGGTAATCTTCTCCTGTAAAATAATCCAGAAGTCACCTTCAGTCTCAGGAGAGTTTTATGGGGAGAGCTGGGATGGGGGAGGGAGGCAGCCCTTCCGCTAAGGCGGCGCAAAGTGGGGCAGAGCCGGGTGGGGTGGTCGCAGGACCAGTAGGCAGAGGGACTGGCAGTCCCCGTTCGGACGAAGGAGGCGGCGGGAAGGGAAGGGTCTGTGCCGCGGTGCCGAGCGGCGGCGGTGGTGGGAGCGCAGGAGAGGCAGGAAGGGACGCGGGGGGCTGCGGGGTGGGGGCGCGGAGGCAGGCACTCACGTCCTCTTGAAGACGCCCCCGAGGGCGCTGCCCAACAGAAGGCAGAGCTGCTGCGAAAAGAAGACCCAGGAGATCTGGGACAGCGAGCTGTGCGTCTGGCAGCGCAGGTCCAGCAGCGTGGGCCCCAGGAAGGCGATGCACAGGCCGAAGCTGAAGAAGACGCTCCAGTAGGTGAGCGTGGGCTGCAGGTTGCGGCGAAGCATTCCCGACACGCGGCCGTCGCAGCCCATGGCCCCTGCTCCCGGGCTCGCGGCTGCTGGCCCCGAGAGAGCGCCGCTGCCCAAGTGCCGCGCCGCCGGCAGGAGGGCCGGCGGGGCTGGAGAGGCCCGCGGCCGGGAGGGAGGAGGGAGGGGCCGCCCAGGCGAGGGGCCCCGCCCTCGGCCCGGAGAGCGGCGGGGGAGTCTGTGGGAGCCGGAGGGGCCAGCGTCCCGCCCGCACCTTCCCCGCGTCGGCACAGCACAGGCTCCCCCTCTTCCCAAACACAGACGTTCGCCCTCACCCGGCTGTGGAGCCCAACACCGAGCCGCTCTTAACTCCCTCCCGGACTCCTCCCCAGCGACCCTATACAGTCTCTTGGATCTGAGGGGTCTGAGCGCCCCTTTTAGAACTGTGGGCAAACAGACTCCGCGGTATCTTGTCTGCATACAAGCTAGAGAGGGGGATCTCCCAGCGCTTTCGCCAAGGCTCCGGAGAGCTACCTGCGCTCCCTAGACACCAACCTGGCCTGTACTTTGGCGGTGCAGGAAACCCCGAGGTTCCTCCCCTTAAACGTAGAGACTTCGCAGACGGACTTCGAGGGTCTGGTAGCGCCCTTCCCCCAGAATAGAACGCAAAATTGTGTACATGCACTTTTTTCCTCCTTTGGGGAGAGTATTCATGGCTTAATTGAAAAGATTAAGCGCGCTGACCTTTAGACTGAAAACCCTAAAAAGTTCTCATCTTGTTCATCTCAAGCTCCTGAAAGAGCCTGAGAGCCGGTCGTCACCGACTTCATCCCACCTGCGCCTGGACAGGTGTGGGAAGGCGGAGGATGTCTTTGTTCTTTCCAGAACTCTGTCTCTCCTTTTTCCTAGATGAGGGAGAGGGGTATCCTGAAGTAATCCTCTGGGGGAAAAAAAGTGCCCTGGGAAAACTCTTTTTTGTTGGAAAAAGTCTCAAGGTTAGCACTCTCCTCAGACCACACCTGTCTGTACCTTGGACTTTATTTATTTACGTTAACCTGCCTGTTCTAGGAGCTCTGGTGGCAAAGTGCCTAGGGCATTTTTGACTGCTAACCAGAAGGCTGGCAGTTCAAACCCATCAGCCGCTTCTCAGAAGGAAGAATGGGCAGTCTACTTCCATAGAGATACTGCCTCAGAAACCCAAGGAAGGGTCGCTATGAGTCGAAATCGACTCAAAGGCAGTGAGTTCTAGCAGGAGACAGATGTGGCAACCTGCTTCTGTAAAGATTTACAGCCTTGGAAACTCTATGGGGCACTTCTACTCTGTCTTACAGGGTTGCTATGAGTTGGCCAGACTTGTGTCACCTACTTTGGTCATGTTGTCAGAGGGACCATTCTCTGGAAAAGGATGTCGTGCTTGGTAAAATGGAGGGTCAACAAAAGTGGGAAAGGCCCTCAACAAGATGTACTGACATGGTGGCTGCAGCGATGGGCTCAGGTATAGTAGGGATACTGAGCCTGGCACAGGATTGGGCAGTATTTCGTTCTGTTGTAGATAAGGTCACTGTGAGTTGGAGATGACCTGATGGCACATAACAACAACAACAACAATATGAGTTGGAATTGACTCAATGGCAGTGGGTTTTGGTTGGGCCTTGTTCTTCAAAGGATATAAGTGTGGGTGGGATGAATATTTTTTTTTAACTTTTTACTATTTTATTGAAGTATAACTTACAGTAAAACACAAATTTTAAGTCAAAGTTTACATATGTTTCCCCCTGTAGGGGGTCATGGTGATTCAGTGGTAGAATTCTCATCTTCATAGAGGCTTGCATGTTGCTATGAAGCTGAACAGGTTTCAGCAGAGCTTTCAGACTAAGACAGACTAGGAAGAAAGGTCTGGCAAACTACTTCTGAAAACCAACCAATGAGAACCCTACAAATCACAATGGTCCATTCCACAAGCCATCATGGGGGTGGCAAAGGACCTGGTAGCATTTCATTCTGATGTATGTAGGGGCAGCTAACAACATCTTTGTAACCACCACCCAGATCAAGCTATAGAATGCTTCTAGCATCCGAGAGGCTGTGAGGTGCCTCACTATACCATAGTCATTGTCACTGTGGCCAACAAAGCTGAACTGGTACAATGACAGAGCTGGGAAACTACTTCCAGGGATGTCATGAAAGAATTTCAGGTGTTTGGGCTGGAGAAGCAAAGCCATTGGGATGAAGCATAGGGTCATTATGTGTGTGAAGGACTAACATATGCAGAGCAACTAGAATTATTCTGTGTTGTCCGGTGGGGAGCAGTTACAAGGAGGAGCACTGCATAAAACCCAGCCTAAAACCAGAGGTGACCCACACTGTAAGTGGCCCCCCAAGAAATTTTAAGTAAGTCTCAGTCAGTAGAGGTGTCAGTCAAGAACAGGACAAGTGGGGGTGAAATGTGGAACAGAATTTCAAATTCTTACAGAATTCAGACTTAACTGGATCTACAGAGACTGGAGGAAGCCTTGAATTTATCTCTCTGAGAAAAATCTTCAAATCATGAACTGAAATTATCCCCCCAAATCATCTTTAAACTAAACAACTGTTTAGCTAAATTAGTAAAGAATGTTTGTCTGGGCCTTTCATTCTTCAAGAATTATCTATATGAGATCAAATTGTCAACAGTAACTCTGACGCACAGATGATAATATTAGTCAGTAAGTCAATGGTAGTAAAGCAATATGGGTAGGGATAGTGAGAATGATAACACGTGAAGAATGTAGCCAATGTTATTAAATTGTACATGTGGAAATTGATGAATGGGTATAGGTTCTGCTATGTGTATTTTTACCAATTATTATTATTTTTTAAAAGGACAGGGCAAGTTTTTCTCAATGGTGGTAGTAGGGGAGAGGGGACTCGACTGGAGGTTATTGCTTCTAACTGAGATCTGTGGTTCTGAAATATTCTGTGAGAGTAGCAGAGAGGGCTCAATCAAATGCTTGTGGTTATCATTTTTTCCCCCAGAGGGTACTTTTCTACTTAATTACAATCACAAGTACTGCACAGGCCCACTGTGATTGCTGTGAACAAATAACTATCATCACCTACAGAATGGTTGAGCCAGAAGGATCATGAGGAGCACTTCCTTGATACAGTCTAGAGGGGATGGAGCAGACCCTGGTGCGACTGTGAGGAAGGACCAGCACCTGAAGACAGTGGAGTCACTAGGGTTGGTATCACCCAATTCAGTAACTCATGATATCACACACTCCCCCCACCATGGACCTCCTGAATCAGACTATCAGAATCCTTAGCAGTGCTTTCTGTATTAATGTTACTCATAAATCATAGTTCCTGTATGTTACTGAATGTCATGGCAATAGCAGTGACAGCAACTAGCAAAATTTAAATTATACCTTTAAATTAAAATAGTGTGTGCAGATGAAACCGTGTGATTTGAAGCATCGTGGTAATTAGGTATAATGACAGCTCTTACCAGAGTGTATTAGAATGTTAAAAAGTAAGTTGACATAGAGTTTTAGCCTTATAGGTTTATTGAAGAAGGATTGATAACTGGAAAATATGGCCTTGGTGATAGAAATGATACTGAAGATCACATGATAGAATTTTGGAAGACAGTGACTTATTCATTGCAGATACCTTTTTTACATAAATGGTGACTTTACATATAGACCTCACCAGATGGAAGACACAGGAATCAAATTGACTGTATCTGTGGAAAGAGACAATGAAGCAGCTCAATATCATCAGTTAGAACAAAGCCAGGAACCGGCTGCAGAGCAAGCCATCAATTGCTCACATGCAAGTTCAAGTTGAAGCTGAAGAAAATTAAAACAAGGAGCTCTGGTGCCTAAGGCATTTGACTGCTAACCAGGATGCTGGCAGTTCAAACCCACCAGCCACTCCTCGGAAGAAAGATTGGGCAATCTACTTCCATGGAGATACCACCTCAGAAACCCCAAGGAGGGGTCACGATAAATCAAATTGATTTGATGGCAGTAAGTTTGGTTTATGAGGGCCAAAATGTGACTTTGGATGTGCCCCATCTGAATTTAGAGACCACCTCAAGAATAGGTTTGGTGCATTGAACACTAATGACTAAAAACCAAACGAGTTGTGGGATGACATCAAGAACATCATACATGAAGAAAACAAAAGATACTTAAAAGGACAGAAAAGACCAAAAAGGATGTCAGAAGGGATTCTGAAACTTGCTCTTGAGTGTAGAGCAGCTAAAGTAAATGGAAGAAATGATGAAGCAAATGAGCAGAACAGAAGATTTCAAAGGACAGCTCAGAAAGACTAAGTATTATAGCGAAATGTACAAAGACCTGGAGTTAGAAAACCAAAAGGATTAGTTAGAAAGTTAGAAAACACTCAGGATTTCTCAAGCTGAACAAAAAAAAAATCAAATCTCTAGTCTCAATATTGAAGGATTTTATGGGCAAATTATTGAACAATGTAGGAAACATCTAAAGAGTATGGAAGGAATACACAGAGTCACTGTACCAAAAGTATTGGTCAGCGTTCAGCCATTTCAGAAGGTAGCATATGATCAAGAACATTGGCACTGGAAAAAAAAATAAGGCCCCAAATTGATGGAATACTCATTGAGATGTTTCAACAAACAGACACAGTGCTGAAATCACTCACTTGTCTGTGCTAAGAAATTTGGAAGACAGTTACCTGGCCAACTGACTGGAAGAGATCCATATTTGGGCCCATTCCAAAGAAAGGTTATCCAACAGAATGCAGAAGTTATAGAACAATATCATTAATATCACATGCAAATAAAATTTTGCTGAAGATAATTGAAAAACAGTTGCAGCAGTACATAGACAGGGAACTGCCAGAAATTCAAACCAGATAAAGAAGAGGACATGGAATGAGGGATATCATTGCTAATGTTGGATGAATCTTGGCTGAAAGCAGAGAATACCAGAAAGATGTTTACCTGTGCTTTATTGACTATGCGAAGACATTTGACTGCGTGGATCATAATAAATTATGGATAACATTGAAAAGAATGGGAATTCAAGAACACTTATTTGTGCTTATGAAGGACTTGTACGTAGACCAAAAAGCAGTTGTTCTGACAGAACAAGGGGATATTGTATGACTTAAAATTAGAAAAGTGTGCAT